TCCAGAAAGGCTTTTGTCATGGACTGGAACAGTCATCACACAGAGGAGTGTAACCCTTTATCACCCACTACTAAGCCCGCCTTCTGCCTACCATTGCATCAACACCAGCGCTGAGATGGGAAGTCTACCCAGACGCTCTGAAAGAACATAATGACATAAAATAGGCTTTATGCACAAAATGTTCAATTCGAACTTGCATGTTCTTTGGTATTTTAGTTTGAGGAGTTGAAACCAAGGAAAACAACTATGAAAATGGAAAGCGACTTCCTCTGTGTATCTGTCTTATGTTCAGCCAGATGTTGATATCATCTTGGATAAAAATGTAAATATGACAGTTTGTTATTTAGCCAGTAAGTCTTGATACAAGTTTTGAAATGAGACCAACCAAAAGCAGCTTTGCATTTTACAAAAGGGTCAACAAGCTTGTTCTTTAGAGAACCAGTTAGTAAATACTTTGGAGCTTTGTGGGTCACATATGGTCTTTGTTGCATATTCTTCGTTGTTTTAATTTTAATAACCTCTTTTAAAATACAAAAAACAAAAACAAAACAAAAGAACAAGCCAAAAGGCCCATCTGGCTGATGGGCTACACTGACTTAAGGCAAATGAACCCAAGACAAGAATGCAACATTACAGAATACAGTGCCTGAACGCGTTCTGCTGGCATTTAGTATCAGCAATTCCAGTGTGGGGCTACAAAATGATTTTATGAATTATCTCACACATGGAAGGAATGTTAATGGCAGGGTATTCTATGATCTCTTTCCCTGAAACTCCAGGCCTGGAAGAAAGGGCAAAGGCTGTGCCAGGTATATACAGCCCCTCCCCCACCCCTGTACAGAGTCTCTCGAGACCATTTCCATTAACAGAGTGCTACGCAAACTTGAAAAACCTTAACCTCCCACACACACACAGACACGTGCAAAACTTGCTCTGTGGAAAATGTGGATTTACAGAGAGGCTCACACTCATTTGTGCAATGATGAGAGACAATTGGATTTGGAGCTTCAGCTCTGCTGAAAGTGAGGAATCTGCATTTGGTAAAGCTGGGACAGGACATAAAGTAGATAATTTCTACAAGCCTGTCCACGTCGAACAATGACTATACTAAATAATGAAACCACTCAGGAAACACCTAACAGGAAGAAGGGGGCAGGGCGGAGAAGAAGCAGAATCATCTGAGAAGGTCCCACTGCAGGGCAGAGTCTGGGGCTCTGGCTGTTCTGCCAGCACCTTCAATACAAGACCATTTCAAGGTGCCAGGGTGCCTCATATTGATATTAAAATGTACCCACATCCCACAGGAAACATAGTATAGAGTGAATAGTTTCACCATTTCTAACTGTCTTATTTTTAAAGGTAAAACCTAAGTGTTAATTATGATTATGTAAGGGAGGGGGCTGGAGCCAACCAAAAGTTTTTCAATTTTCCAACATGTGAACTAAAAAGCTAATTAGTTGGTCTAAGGCATTAGGCCTGTAATTTCAAGTGACTAAATCATCCTTACTCCATGGTTGGCAAGTATGATTAAATAGACTAGGAGATTTTCAGAAAGTGAAAGAAAATCTACCTTTTACCACACCAAAGAACAAAAATGACTCCAAGTGCCAAGCCTTAGAGAAGTGAAATTTAAGTATATGAGACAATTCCGTACCTAGAATCAAAATGACTGTCTCCTCCATCCAGTCTAAAGCTGAAAGAACCCCGTTTATAAAAAAAAAAAAAAAAAAAAAAAAAACACTTAAACACTGGTAATACACAATTAAAATGAAAGCACGTCTTCATAATAAAAAACAGACATGGGGACATATCTGTCACACACACACAAACCCCAGACCTTCAGAAGGGATCTCTCCTTGGGCGTGGTGCTTATCAAGTTGGTCAGCAGTGCTACAAGGCCTTGTCAAGTCCAGTCACAGAAAAGCCCAGGAATTTACACAAATGGACACTTAAACTATGGTGGGAAAAGAAGGATTACCAACTGTCACCCCAACAACTTCAGATCACCTGGGTATGTGGTGTGGGGCTTGGCAGGAGTGACATGGCTGCTAGCAGTGTGAACACTTCAAGTCTGTGCTTGTAGTCAGTGAGGAGTCTGTAGAACTTTTCACTACGTTGGTGCAAATTCACCTTACTGTTGAAGCATAACTGCAACCATAGAGCATTTTCGTTTCAGGTATATAAGCTCTCTGGCTCTCTACCACCGCTTCCGGCTGGAACTCTCTGGGGCCAAGTAAAAGGTAGGGGAGTTTCCCCTCCATATCAACTGAAGACACAACTTGAAGCCTCTTTCACCACAGTCACCACACAGAAAGTACAAACACCAAGAGTTCCCATGATATTCACCATGTAATACACACCTCCTAATCTGAGCTATGGAAGGACACTGGCTTTAACATTTTAAATGGAAGGTTTAAAGTGTGAAATGCAATACACTACACACACACCTACGGGGAGGGTGGGTATGTGGGGGGGAGGTAGGGATTTAGTCCAAGGCCTCATCCATGTTAAACATATACTATACCACTGACTTAAACCCCTAGCCAAGAAAAGTGATTTTTAAAAGATACTGTGTTGGAAGGTCCTTATAGGAAACAAGGGACAAAGTAGGGGGTGAATGGGAGGAGCTAGTCACTCCACTGCAAAGGAATCCAAGGAATTGAACACACTGTATCAGTGAGATTTATTCACTTTCTTTTTATTTCTTCCTTTTAAAAGAGTGTATGTATGTGTGTGCACCTGCATGAGAGATGAGTAAGAGTCAGTGCAGCTGCCCAGAGAAGCCAGAAGAGGGATCAGGTGCCCTAGAGTTGAAATTACAGGCCTTTAGGTACTTGTGAGCCACCCTTTAAGGGTGCTCAGAACTGAACTTGGGTCCACTAGAAGGGCAAGAAGCACTATTAACTGCTGAACCATCTCTCTTACCTCAGATTTACTTACTTTCAAGGCAGGAGAAAAGTTCTGAGAGGGTCGCACATAGAACAGACAAAACTCCTCCTCCCCAGTGTGTTAGAAATTGTTCTTTACCATCTGTACTTCAGCACGCATTTAACACTTAAAAAAGAGTTATTTGGGGTTTTGAAATTGATACCAAAAACGAATGTCCTTTAGTAGCTGTAGCAGCTTCCACCAAGCCTCTTACAAATACACTTTCGAGAATCAAGATGACATTTAAAATCTGCTTCCTCAGAAAAGTCCCACTCAAGATTAACTGCCAAGAACTTGCAACTCAAACTTCCTTAAGCCCAGACATCTCACCACTCAGATTCATTCAGTCTGTCTGAGAGAAATCAGAATAAAGCAAGGAGTCTTTACCAACACTCACACTGGAAAGTGCTCTAGACTTACTTTTAAAAGATGTCACCTATAGAACACAAATATTTAAACAGATTGTGTTTGTTTGTTTGTTTGTTTGTTTGTTTTTAATTCGAGTATATGGGTGGGTTTTTTCCTGCACCATGTAAGTGTCTGGTCCCCACAGAAGCCAGAGAGGGTATTGGATTCCATGCAACTGGAGTTATAGACAGTTGTGAGCTGCCAGGTGGGTGCTGTGAACCAAACAGGATTTCTGTAAGGACAACGAATACCCTTAACCACTGTTAAACACACTAGTTCTCCATTACTTGTGGATCACCCCGAAAGCTATCTGAAAAATAAAATATTTAAATAAGCTAGTATTAGAGGCCAGAAAGATCACCCAGAAAACAAAAGGCTGACTCTTGCAGTACTTAATTGACTGCAGCTGTTTAACAAGGGAAATAATGTTAAGGTCATTCTCCTGAAGGTTTAAAACCAGTTTTGATTTGCTCTTCCATTTACAGGTTAAAAATCCTGTTTACCTGCACAATGTCTTTTACTACAGATATAGGAAGAACAGCTCCCAGGAAAGAGTGGGAAAATTTTTTGTTCTTGAATCAATTAGAAGTCACTGGGAAATATATAGTATGCTATGATTCACCTAAAAAGTAATTAGTATCAAAGAAAACTATACAGGGAGGCAGGTGGAATTTAAGTTCAATCACTTGGCTTAGTCATTACTAATACTCAAGCTCAAGAATTTTAAAAGTTGAGAAACGCTGCTTCTCAAGACACGGAGTAAAGGGGTGAGAATAAATTCCTAACCATATCATCCCAAAATTCACCAGTCCCCTTAATACCTACTAACACTCGGAAGAGTTTAACACTCTGTGGACATTAGTCCATCTTTGGTCACTTTTTAAATCCTCTTGATTCAAAGACGTCAAGAGAAAATGGAAACCAGCATTCCCAGTTACAGGGGAAAGTCCTGTGCCCCGCGTTTTCCATTTCCTCTCTTTTCTCCGCTCAACCCCTGCGCTGCATCTGCTGCTTCCCCTACTTTTTAGTTAACACTCAGCTCTCCTTCACTTTCTCCACCAAGTCGCCTCCCGCCGCCCTCAGGTGCCCCGAGCCCTTCTCCCATCTACAATCTTCTTCTGCGTTTTTCTTTTGGCATATGTGTGCACACCTTTCCGCCCAGTATCCCTTCGTCTCTCGCCTCCCGACCATCCATTCATTCCCCTCAATTCCCAGTCTCACTTCTCTTGCCCCTGCTGTCCTCTGCCCCTTTACTCCATTTGAAGCCCCTCTAAAGTGCTCAACCCTTCGTTTCCCCCTTCACACTTCCTTCCTCTTTTCTGTCTTTCCAACCCAACATTCGCACCCACTCTCCCCTCCTTCTCTCCTCCGTACGGTTTCCTGTGTCCCCCCCGACTCTGTCCCTCCGCGACTCCTCCGCCGCCTCCCCGGAGCCCGCTCGTGTCCCTAACACCCCTGGTTTCCGATGGCTCCGGTTCCCTTTCCTCCGCCGGCAGCCCCGCGTCCGCGCCCGCCCCCTCGCCCTGGCCCACCTCACGGTCCCCGCGGCGGCCCCCCGGGGTCTCCCTCCCGGGGCGCCAAGCCCTCGCGTGCCCTCTCCCAGGCCCCCGGGCACCCGCCCCCCACGTCTCAGCTCCCGTCCCGGGCCGCGGCCGCTCCCTCACCGATGGTGGAGATAAAGGTGGTGTTGAAGGCGTCCTCTGAGAAGCGGAACAGGAGGCAGGTCTTGCCGACGCCGGAGTCGCCGATGAGCAGCAGCTTGAACAGATAATCGTACGTCTTCGCCATCTTCTCGCTCCGGCCCTCTCTGACCGCCGAGAGCGAGGAGGCAGTGGAAAGCCGCGCGGAGGGGGCCTCGGGCGAGGGGGCGTGTCCGCCGAGCCGCCCGCGCCCCGCCCCGCCCCTCGCCCCGCCCCCTGGAAGCGACAGGCGCACCCCGTCCGCTCTAGCCAATCTGTTCGTGCTTTGTCATCACCATTCGCGCCGCGGGACTTATGGGATTTGTAGTACTCTGGGAGAGTTTCGGGCGTGCCTGGCCCGGACTGTCCAAGCAACCCTGGTAGGTAACACATGTGAGTGAGTGGCACGGCGCGCTTGGAGTTTCCATCCCTCCCGGGAAAAGACGCTTCGTTCCGAACTCCTCTTCTCTCGCCACCGGAACTTGACTGTGTTGTTTCTTTGTTTGTGGGCGCCTTTCAAATCCAAGACCTGAGAATCTAAGTACCGCAGTTAGCGCTTCTGCTCGCCTGGACCCGGAGCCGCGAAGCTTTCTTAGAGATGAGATGGTCCACGAAGTCTGCGGATCTTCTGCTGAGTGTTTTCCAGCCTCTCCAGTTTCTACTCAGATCCTAGCCCAGAAGTTAGCCCCCTCCCTCAGCTCTTCAGTCATAGAGCTCAAAGAGTGATAGTAACAGGCTGACTTCATACCCACTCGGGCCGTCTGAACTAAAGGACACCACCAAATGCGATGATCATTTTAGCGGATCTGCTTCACAGACAGCACTCCGCTCCTCGTTAAGAGGGAAGATTAAAAAAAAAAAAATGTGGTAAGGCTTGTGCTACAGCTCTGCGTCTTGTAAAACAGCGTTTTACAAAACCTGAGGCGGGAACTTAAACCATGGAGACTAGAGAGTAAGACTTGGATTTTGTCTTGGCTAAGCCACTTCACCTCTGTGTGAAGTCTCACAGGCTTGGCACATCTCTACTTCATAGGGTAGTAATGCAAGCTATATACTGAATGTGAAAACACTTTGAAACTCAGTTACCTGCTATGAAGTGTAGGTGTCAGTAGTGTTTAAATTTATCTCCCCTCAGGAGGATTTCAATCAATGGGTGGCAAAAGGAAAGGAGGAAACAGCACTTTGATGCATTCAATTCAAACCTTCAGTACTCTTTCATCAGCAGGTGGCAGAAACCCAACTCAAGCTCGGGAGAGAAGGGTTTACTGTCCAGATCACGTGGAAGGAGTAGCTAAGGGGACCAGGAACTTTATCTTGTCAGAAATTTCTGTCTCGTCCCTTCTTCATCTTCAGTCTTAATTTAAAATACGTTAGATACAGCCCCAATACACATACACACACACCCCAGCAAAAGTTCTTTGGTTTCCTCAAGAATTTTTAAGAGGATTAAAGGGACCCTGCCTGACACCAAACTGAGAACCACTAGGACAGAACTTACCTTAGAGATGAGGAAATACCTTCTAGCAGTGGTTGTTACAAGAAGCAGTGGACTTAATCATCAGAGCAAGTAGAAAAACAAACAAACAAACAAAAAACACTGGGACAGTTAATTGAACTAGTCAGCAAACTCTTCTAAGATGTATGTTGGATGCCTGTGACTTCATGAATGATACCAATGATGGTGCAGGTCTGGTCCTATTGTAGCAGGAAATTTAGTTGGTCCTAATAATGACCTTTGCCTTCTATGTTGAGAGAAGATGAAAGGTATCGTTAACTCACACTTATTGATCACACAGTACCCAGAAGGCAGCAGCTGCTTCTGTCAACTTAATATGTAATGTCTAGAGTGTGCCTTAGGTCAAAGCTGCCCTCATTGTTATGGTTCTGAGGAGGAACTGAACTCCTCAGTCGTTTGGGGAAGGAATCTGCCTTCTGGCATAGATTGAGCGTCTTTGCCTAAGACTCTGAACTGGCTTCACCCAGGTTCTGAGCAGTTGTGGGCTGCTTAGTTCCATTCCTTGGTGCTCGGTCAGGGAATAGAAGGAATGAAGTCTTCAACGACCGCTGGAATCTTCTTGACTTCTTTATTTTTTTAATTTAAATTATTTTCACTTTTTCTTATTGAGTATGTATGTGTATGATGGGTGTGGGGCTTGTGTCATGGTGTATTGCAGAGATCAGAGAAAAATATTGTGCAGTTGAATTCTCTCCCTCCATGTTTACATAGGTTTGGGGGATCAAACTCTGGTCATCAGACTCACATGTTAAGTTACCTCATTGGTTCTCTTTTTTTTTTTTTTTTTAAGGATTCATATCTATTGAAATACTTTGGAGGGAGGAGTGCTGGAGAGATGGCTCAGTGTTAAAGTTAGGTTCCACTGGCTGCTGTAAAGAGGACCCTGGTTGGGTTCCCGGCACCCATGTGATAGCTCGCAACCATCCATAACACCAATTCCAGGGGACCTGAGGCCATTGTCCAGCCTCTGTGGGCACTGCACACATGTGGGGTGGCACACATGTAGCCAAAACACCCATACATGTATTTAAAAAGGGTTTTAAGGAAATAACTTTTGATCCCACTATTTCAGCAGTTGGCATTCTCTTTCTGTGGAAAGGGACATATTTATACAGTAAATAACAAAGTTCAGAAGAGAAATAAGACTTAGGAAATTTAAAGTCCCTAAATTTCCTTAGGGGAATTTTGTTAATTAATGGGAATTTAAAGAAAATAATTTTGTCATATTTTCAGTTCCTCAGCTTTTTCTGCTCCCAACTATGGATAATATTGGGACTTTCTAGTCCTGCATTTGTATACCAGTGGTGAACTATTCAGGCATTTTGATATATTGACATTGTTTTTTAAATCAAATTTTTTCCTTTCATTATGCATTATTAATCCTCAGATTTTATACACTAGTGTATTAGAGACCAGATTAATAGTGACGGTAACTGGTCAGCATTGGATCTAAGCAGTTGGCTGAAAGGTCTCATGGTGAGTATATTTGTAGAATGAGGATGCAGCAGGCAACAGATTCCTTGTTGACATTATTTTTCAATTGGATGAGACTCTTCTAAAATGTCACATCCCAGTGATCCAAGGAAAACAGTTATATCCATGCTTTTTGCCATCTGCTCAGACCCATCCCCGTAGAGAGCACAGACCAGCACGTTCAGCTTGATTAAGAAAATGTTGGCTAAAGCGCTCTCTCCTGTAAATATTGTAGATGAAACCTGAATACAGAGATCTCAGGAGTTCCCCCTGTGTATATTTCCTGACCTGAACCATCTCTCTTCCTAGCTTCAGAAAGCTGTGACTGCTGACTGAACCACAGCACTTCTCTTTCCTGCCACAGAGAAGGCATCTGATTCAGACCCAGTCGATCTGAATTCTTCCTTGTGGACTTTCTAATGACGCAGATGATAATGCTGAAAGGGGGTCTGGTGTGGGTTTGAGGCTGATTTTGATGAGAGCTTGGCATTGTTTCCTGTATCCTCTTGTTCCTTGCTGGCTGGCTCATGATAGTAAGCAAGACTGTCATGCTGTACTCATTCCTGTAGTAGTTGCTCTTTGCATGACAAAGCCTCCCCACCAAAAACAACTGCAACATTCTTGAGAGACACCATATTCTCTATGCAAAATTTCAGCATGCATTAAGAATGTTTTGAATTGTGTGTATGTATATTGTGCATGTGTGTGTGCACGTTTGTGTGTATGTTGGGGGCACCGCACGCTACAATGTGGAGGTCAGAGGACAACCTCAGGTGGCAGTCCATGTCTTCCATCTTTGTTTGTGGCAGAGTCTCTTATTGATCACCTCTGTCTATGCCAGGTTAGCTGACACATGAGTCTCTAGGGATTCTCATGTCTCCAGTTTGTCCTAGATGCACTCTGGGATTACAGATGCTACTGATAATGCATCTAGCTTTATGTGGGTTCTGGGGATGCAAACTCTTTTCCCACTTGCATGGCATGTATTTTATCTGTTAAGCCTTCTCCCCAGCCCAAGAATTTTAATTTGTTGATCCATGACACTTGAGTATGAGAAGTGTTATCTTATGGGAAACTGAGTGCAGATGAGACCTCTGCTTGGTAAAGTAGAAATTGGCCACTATGGGAATTTTCTTCCCTTTGGTTGTATTCTATAAGAAACCAGTCACTTACATGAGCCTGGCTTATTAAGGGCAAGTAGCCTCTGGGCCATGAGATTATATCCTCCATGTTGATGCTTCTACCCAGCTACTCTTGGGTGCTGGCTCACTACCACTGGTTGGGCAGAGCTGTCCCGGTGGGCTACAAAGATGTCCTTCACAGTCACTATCCTTCCTGACTGTTGACTCGGCTGTGATATAAGTCTTCTCTCTGTAATGAAATAATCTGTATACTTCTTTGTCTTCAATCTTCAATCTTAGAACTCTTCTAGGAAAGAGACTTCACTAATTTCTGTATCCAGGATACCCCTATACTTAGTAGGTTCTTGGATAAGTTATCAAATGAATGAATGAACATCAGTCAGTTGTGCCAACCAGCATAGCTCACTTAAAACAAGAAACTTTAAGGAGGATTTTGGTTCCTACATCCTTTGAGCCTCATCGGCATCTTTCTTTTATACTCTACTTTGTGTTTGTTATTATTTCTGTAATTACACTACTCACTGTTGTGTTTAAGAAATCTGTTTGATTGTATATTCTTTTTCTAGTTTATCAAGATCACACTGAAAGATAAGCCCTTAAAAATACTAATTCCCTTATCACCTGTGTGTCATCTAAAAACATTCCATTTGTGTAGTGATAGTCTGCTGGTATAATTCTATAATTATCCTCATCGGAGAGGGACAAGCTGTACTCTCCACCCACTGATATTTCTTGAGCAATCACCAGGTTAATACTGTCTACTCAAACAACATTCATTAAGCTCCCATTATGAAGCCTGCTCAGCAAGGCCACCTGGAGGTTACAGAAAAATCTGTCCTGTAGTACCTGGCCTCACTTTGTTCTCAGCTAGTTGAGGGGTGAGAGCGAACAAGTGAAAATCTGAGTGACAAATGTGAGCAGGCATTTTGCTGGCCCATGCTGGGTAAATCAAGGTACTATTCTGGCTGATTGGCTGGTTTTTAATTTCCATCAAATACACCCATTTTCATTGGCTGGGTGTCCATTTTTAATATCTGAGCATCCATTCTGATT